GGCCTCCCAAAGTGCTAGGATTACAGGGATGAGCCATTGTGCCTGGCTCAGAATCAAAATTTGAAATCAACCTGTGTTGAATCAGTAAGTAAACCATAAAGATGGAGATTCGGGAATCAGAATTCCAGTCTCCTTGAAGGCAGACCTGGACTGTGGCTGGAGGTTGAATTTGGAAGAACTGAGGAAAGAACATAGGCCTTGGAGTCCCAAAGACCTGCCTTCAAATCCTGGCTCTGCCTTTGCTGCTGTGTGACCTAGAGCCAAGTGGCTGGACTCTGCTGTGCCCAGCATCCTCTGCTGTGAAGTGGAGAGGATGAAGTTCACCTCCTAGGTTTGCTATGAGGTTTAAGTGGAACAATCCAAGTATACAGAACCGCTGGTGCGGGGCTACTGCTTGAGGAGTAGCTAGTGAATGTTAGCTGTGTCCATGACACGCAGAGGGCCAAGTGGACTTCCTCCCTCGGTAGGGGAGGAAGGAGAAGCTTGGGGACAGTACAAGGCCAACCAGACCTACTTCCACCCAGCCCAGCCTGGTGCTTCTCTGTACTCTCCTAATCCTGCTGACCCAAGTACTTTGCTGTGAGGCAGTTGCGTGTGAGGCGTGAACCCTGAGCCTATGCTGCAGGGGAAGAAAAGAAGGACACTCACCCAACAGCTGCAGGCTGCCTGCCCGCCCCCCACGCCCGTGAGCCCCCTTCTTCCAGCAGGCAGCCCCGGGAACTCCCTTCTCCTCCACGGGCACCCAGAGGAGGAGCTGACTCTCAGTCGGGGAGCGAACAGGGCCTGCTGCCCAGGCACGGCATAGTTCAACTCGAACTTAGGTCTGGCAGTCTCCTGACTTTGAACCTGAGCTCTTTATTGCCACGCCTGTCCCCACACTGGAAACGACCCAGCCTTCCTGTGGAAAGAAGGAAGGGTGCCATTTCCCTAAAGATTAATGATTGACCAACTAATATGAAACCACACAAGCATGCCTCCAGAACCCCGGTTAATGTTTACCCGTGTTCTTCTCCGGTGCCAGAGCCTTTCCTGTGGGTGCGCAACTGCGGATTCCACCATAGAGATTTTGCGGAACAAATTTAGCCTGGGAAGGTGATTCCTGCTAGACCCTTACCTGAGCGACTCCTTCCTGGGGCACTCTGTTACCACCCTGCCATCGTCACGGCATTGGGCATTTACTCCATGCTTGGCACAGAGACTTCAGACCCTCACACGGCTTTATAAAGGGGGATCTAGGGTGATTCCCACCCTACAGATGAGGAAACAAAGACACAGGGGTGAGGTCCTTGTTCCATGTGACAAAATCAGAAGCAAAAGAGCCCATATTCAGCCAGGTGCGGTGGCTCATGCCTGTAATCCCAGCACTTTGGGAGGCCGAGGCTGGTGGGTCGCCTGAGGTCAGGAGTTCGAGACCAGCCTGGTCAACATTGTGAAACTCCGTCTCTACTAGAAATAAAAAAATTAGCCGGGCATGGTAGCAGGCACCTGTAATCCCAGCTACTCAGGAGGCTGAGGCAGGAGAATCACTTGAACCTGAGAGGCAGAGGTTGCAGTGAGCCGGGATCGCGCCACTGCACTCCAGCCTAGGGGACAACGCCAGACTTTGTCTTTAAAAAAAAAAAAAAAAAAAAAAAAAAAAAAAGCCCCTTACACCTGTAATCCCAGCACTTTGGGAGGCCAAGACAGGCAGATCACGAGGTCAGGAGATTGAGACCATCCTGGCTAACACGGTGAAACCCCGTCTCTACTAAAAATACAGAAAAATTATCCGGGCGTGGTGGCAGGCACCTGTAATCCCAGCTACTCGGGAGGCTGAGGCAGGAGAGTGGTGTGAACCTGGGAGGCATAGCTTGCCGTTAGCTGAGATTGGGCCGCCACTGCACTCCAGCCTGGGTGACAGTGCGAGACTCCATTTCAGGAAAAAAATTTAAAAGCCCATATTTGTCCAGATTCTTTTTTTTAAGAGTCTTTTTCTGTCACCCAGGCTGGGGTGCAGTGGTGCAATCACGGCTCACTGCAGCCTCAACCTCCCAGGCTCAAGTGGTCCTCCCACCTCAGCCTCCTGAGTAGCTGGGACTATAGGCATGCAACCATGCCTGGCTAATTTTCCATTTTTTGCGGAGAGAGGGTCTCACTATGTTACCCATGTTGTTTTCGAACTCCTGAGCTCAAGCAATCCTCCTGCCTTGGCCTCCCAAAGTGTTGGGATTACAGGCATGAGCCACTGCGCCCAGCCACCCAGATTCTTGTCTTGAACCTCTGCTCCTTTTTGTGTTTTCTTTTTTGAGACAGGGTCTTGCTCTGTCACCCAGGCTGGAGGCAGTGGTGTGATCATGGCTCACTGCAGCCTCAACCTCCCAGCCTCAAGCAAGTGATCCTTCCATCTCAGCCTCCTAAGTAGCTGGGACTACAGGCGCATGCTACCACAATTGGCTAATTTTTCATTTTTTGTGGAGATGGAGGTCTCACTATGTTACTCAGGTTGGTCTCAAATTCCTGAGCTCAAGCAATTCTCACACCTTGGCCTCCAAAAGTGCTGGGACTACAGGTATGAGCCCCTGTGCCAGGCCAAATGTCTGCTTTTGACCAATGAGCCTGGCCACCCCTCCCCAGCCCTGTTGTGAGCCTCGCTCCAGGCTTTGCTTGGCAGCTCGGTATTCTTTATGGTCCGAGACTCTGGCCCAGAGTGACCATGGATGTCTCACTGGAGTTCTAGGCCAGGGCCAGAACATGCAGGGATGCTGGGGCCAAAGGGTCCCCCAAGGAAGGCAGGCAGAGAGGCAGATGTCTTTGCCTTCATGTCACCTGTAGCCTTTGCCCCAACACTGGTAAGGTGACCATGGACTCTGCCAGGATACTTGTTTACCACGCCCGAAGGGGACAGCTTTCTGGGAGATGTCTGCACTCCCCAAGGCCATCCCCCAGTGCCTGGAAAGCAGAGGGTGAACTCTGGCACTTTATTTATGTATTTATTTTTATTTTTGTTTTTTGAGACAGAGTTTCACTCTTGTTGCCGAGGCTGGAGTGCAATGGTGTGATCTTGGCTCACTGCAACCTCCACCTCCCAGGTTCACGCGATTCTCCTACCTCAGCCTCCCGAGTAGCTGGGACTACAGGCACCTGCCACCACGCCTGGATAATTTTTTGTGTTTTTAGTAGAGATGGGATTTCACCGGGTTGGCCAGACTCGTCTCAAACTCCGGACCTAAGGTGATCCACCCACCCCAGCCTCCCAAAGTGCTGGGATTATAGACATTAGCACCGTGCACAGCCTTGTATTTTAACAGGTGACTAGGTAATAGGTAAAGACCCTTCCTCTGAGCAAATGGAGGGGCTTTAGCTCTCTGACACTGGCCTCATGAGGAAGGCAGTCTTTCCCCCAGATGTAGCTTGGTTGGGTGATGGCCTGGTCTGAATTACATTATAGAGGCAGAACTGAGGGTGTCTTGGGACCTGCCCTCCTCCCTGACCCTGTTTTTTATCACTTCCTTTCTGGTTCACCAGTAACTCTGGCCACCTTTGCTTTTTCTCAAATCTACCAGACTTATTCCTGCCCTGGGGCCTTTGCACTTGTTATGCCACAGCCTGGACTGCTGGTCCTCCGGCTCTTCCTGTGACCCCTCCTTTTCATCATTCAGGACTCGGTCAAATGTCTGCTCCTCAGGGCGGCCTGCCCCTACCACCACTGCTGGAGTTCTCTACCCCCCACCTTAGTCACCTTCTCTGGATCCTGTTCTTCCCTTTGCCTTCATCTGTACAGTCTGAGGTGGTCTTCTGTGTTTGATTGCCTCTTTATTTTCTGGGCACCATGAGAGCATGGTCTTTGTTAGCTTTTGGCTCTACTGTGTCCTCAGCCCTAGAACTGTGTCTGGCCCATCGCAGGTGTTCATTAAGTATTTGCTGAGTGAGTGAAAGAATAATCTAAGGCTGGGCGTGGTGACTCACTCCTGCTATCCCAGGACCTTGGGAGGCTGAGGAGGGAGTATCACTTGAGTCCAGCCTGGGGAACATAGAGGGACCTCGTCTCTACAAGAAATACAAAAATTAGCCAGGCATAGTGGCATGTGCCTCTGATCCCAGCTACTCAGGAGGCTGAGGCAAGAGGATCGCTTGAGCTTGGGAGGAAGAGGCTACAGGGAGCCGTGATCGCACCACTGTACTCCAGCCTGGGCAACAGAGTGAGACCCTGTCTCAAAAAAAAAAAAAAAAAAACCAATAAAAAGAATAATCTAATTTAGTTCTCACAATGAATTTGTGTGGGAGTGAAGGTATTTGCAAATTGTTTGCCATTCCTTCTAGGAAGAAGGGGAGGCTCTCTCCTCAACCTGGGTCTCTGGACTGAGCCTGTGACTCACTTTGACCAACCGAATTTGGTGGCAGAAAGGAGGCCAGGTGACTTCTGAAGCTAGATCTTAGGAAGCTGTTCAGCTTCCACCTGGGTCTCTAGGAACACTGTCTCAGGGGAAGCCAGCTGCCATGTGGGAAGTTGGACTAGCTTGAGCCAGCCATGCTGTCAGGAAGCCCAAGCAGCCACGTGGTGCCAGAGCAGTGAGTGCAGAAGCCATCTTGCACATCCAGCCTCAGAGTTGGATAACTATGGCCCCAGCTGCCCTCACACTGTAGCCACACAAGGGAACTCTAACCAGATGAGCCCAACCAGGGGACCCTACTGTGGGAGATAAGAAATCACTTTAAGCCACCAAGTTTTAGGGTGCTGTGTTACACAGCAATGGATAACTAGAACAAGTAGGAACATTCTCTTCATTTTTTCAAAGAAACCAAGGCACCGAAAAGTCAAATGACTCCAAATCACTTGGCGGAGTGGGCATTCTGGCCTAGACTGTCTGCAAGGCCTGTGCTTTTCATTTCTAGGCTACACCACTCTGAAATTAATTCATATTTGCTGCTTCTTGTTTTGTTTTTTGTTTTACCCTTACAATGCTGGTAGTCAGTATTAGGTTGAGAGCTGGTCCTGAGAACTTCTTTCCTTCTCACTGCAGATCTTCATAAACAATGAATGGCACAATGCCGTCAGCAGGAAAACATTCCCCACAGTCAATCCGTCCACTGGAGAGGTCATCTGCCAGGTAGCTGAAGGGGACAAGGTGAGAACTGGTGACTTACCTTGGGGGAGGGATGGATTCGTTTTCTATTTTGTATGTTTTTGTGTGCTGAAAGCTTCACTATTTATGTGTATTACTTTCACAAGTAACAGACACCAATGAAAAATTCCAAGAAAAATTCCAAGTAAATTAATCAATAGAAACTTCCCTGCAGACAACGGTGTTGATTCACTTAGTGCAGAACTACAGACTTGAAAGTGAATTTGGCAAATATCTAATACAGTGTCTCCTTTCCAGACCTGGAAGTTGAAGGTCAGAGATGGAAACCTTGTTGGGTAGAATTAGGGTCTCCTAAGATCTAGCTCCTGTGGAGGTTTGAATTATATAGACTGTAGGAACCAATAGAAACTGATAATATTATGTTTACAATTTTTAAATTAGACTCTTAGTAAAAATATTTTGTGTTTTTGGCCGGGCACGGTGGCTCAGGCCTGTAATCCCAGCACTTTGGGAGGCTGAGGTGGGAGGATCACTTGAGCCCAGCAATTTGAGACCAGCCCGGGGAACCATAGATACCATCTCTAAAGTAAACAAAGAAACAAATAAATAATTTAAAAATAAGAAAATACAGGCCGGGCGCGGTGGCTCACACCTGTCCCAGCATTTTGGGAGGCTGAGGCGGGTGGATCATGAGGTCAGGAGTTTGAGACCAGCCTGACCAACATGGTGAAACCCTGTCTCTACTAAAAATATAAAAATTAGCTGGGCGCAGTGGCGTCTGCCTGTAATGCCAGCTACTCAGGAGGCTGAGGTAGGCGAATCGCTTGAACCCGGGAGGCGGAGGTTGCAGTGAGCCGAAATTGTGCCACTACACTCTAGCCTGGGTGACAGAGCGAGACTTCATCTCAAAAAAAAAAAAAAGAAAGAAAATACAGAAATTGTCCGGATTCTCATTCCCACCAGGACTTCATGAAAGGAGGGGAAGGTTGTGTTATTCAACCCCGTTGCTGAAGTCTGGTGCTGGTCAGGGCTCTGCCTGGCTAGGAGCATTGTTTACGGGGCAGGTTTTCTATGCAGCGATGTGCTGATGACCCTCTGGATGTGTTTGTATTCGGAGTTGGTTGTTACTGAGAAGGCCTGAGTTTTCCAGGAAGGCTTGAGTTTTCCTGTGTTTTCCAGGAAGATGTGGACAAGGCAGTGAAGGCCGCCCGGGCCGCCTTCCAGCTGGGCTCACCTTGGCGTCGCATGGACGCATCACACAGGGGCCGGCTGCTGAACCGGCTGGCTGATCTGATCGAGCGGGACCGGACCTACCTGGCGGTGAGTCCTCAGCCCTTCTCCCCCTCAGATCACACATGGCAAATGCGCTCACAGCATCCTGTGAACAGCCAGGAACCAAGCATCCTGTGAACAGCCAGGGGCCACACATCGGACATGGGACTGATGGGAGTGGCGTAGGATGGACACCTTTCGGGGGCACCTCTGCACTAACCAGAGGAGGCTTTCAGTGTCTCCTTTGTTTTTTTGTTTTGTTTTGCTTTTTTGAGACAGAGTCTCGCTCTGTCTCCTAGGCTGGAGTGCAGTGGCGACATCTTGGCTCACTGCAACCTCCACCTCCTGGGTTCAAGTGATTCTTCTGCCTCAGCCTCCAAAGTAGCTGGGATTACAGGCACAAGACACCACGCCCAGCTAATTTGTGTATTTTTAGTAGAGACAGGGTTTCACCATGTTGGCCAGGCTGGTCTCCAACTCCTGGGCTCAAGTGATCCACCTGCCTCAGCCTCCCAAAGTGCTGGGATTACAGGCGTGAACCACTACACCCGGCCTTAGTGTCTCCTTTGATGTGGTGGGTTTGGCTAAGCAAGAAGGATCTGGGGGAGGGAAGAAGAGCTGTGTCAGGGAGGCCTTCCCAGGAGAGAGACCCCTGGGAATGGACACCTCTCCCTGGGCTCCTCCATGATGGGCATTCTCCCTGGCTGCAAGAAGAGAAGAAACCAGGAGGCAATCTCCTCCCAGCCACAATTGATTCTGCACACAGAAGCCAGAGCGAACCTTCCAGAAGGCAGATTATACGTGGCACTTTGCTCTTATGCCCTGCATGGCATGCGGTGTCCTTAGGATAAAACCCTCAACATGGTCTGTAAGACCCAGCCTTCAACATGGCGAGATCCTGTCTCTACAAAAAGTTAAAAAACTAGCTGGGTATGGTGGCATATGCCTGTAGTCCTAGCTACTTGGGAGGCTGAGGCAGGAGGATTGCTTGAGCCCAGGAGTTCTAGGCTGCAGTGAGCTGTGGTAGCACCATTGCACTTTAGCCTGGGCAACAGAGTGAGATCCTGTCTCAAAGAAAAAAAAAAATGGGCCCAGCGCGGTGGCTCAAGCCTGTAATCCCAGCACTTTGGGAGGCCAAGATGGGTGGATCACGAGGTCAGGGGATCGAGACCATCCTGGCTAACACGGTGAAACCCCGTCTCTACTAAAAAATACAAAAAACTAGCCGGGTGAGGTGGCGGGTGACTGTAGTCCCAGCTACTCGGGAGGCTGAGGCAGGAGATTGGCGTGGACCGGGGAGGCGGAGCTTGCAGTGAGCCGAGATCCGGCCACTGCACTCCAGCCTGGGCGACAGAGCGAGACTCCATCTCAAAAAGAAAAAAAAAATGACCCAACCTGTTCTAGTTCCATCATCTGAGTCATGCTGCACTGCAGTCCTCATATTCCCATGTGCTCCCGAGCCTGGGCTGCCTTGCTTGATGGCTAAGCCTCTTTGAGCATCAGCACTTGCACCTGCCTGGGATGCTCTTTGCCCTGCTGCCATCCGTACCATCCCCTTTGCCCAGTTGCCCCTACATATCATTCAGGTTCTAGCCTAAAGGGCTCATCTCTAGCTGATATTTCTGGACAGGGCTGGGCAACCTGGCTCCCTGCTTTCTACTTTTTAGCACTCTTTTTTTCTTTTTTTTCGAGATGGAGTCTCACTCTTCACCCAGGCTGGAGTGCAGTGGCACAATCTCGGCTCACTGCAACCTCTACCTGCGGAGTTCAAGCAATTCTCCTGCCTCAGCCTCCCAGTAGCTGGGATTACAGGTGTGCACCACCATGCCCAGCTAATTTTGTATTTTCGATAAAGTCAGGATTTCACTGTGTTGGCCAGGCTGGTCTTGAACACCTGACCTCAGGTGATTGACCCACCTTGGCCTCCCAAAGTGCTGGGATTATAGGTGCGAGTCACTGTGTCCGTCCTTTAGCACTCTTAACACATGTGACTGAGGACTTGTGTCATTATGCACAGTCTCTTTGCTCTGTGAGCTCCACTCTGGTCTCTATCTCAGCACCGGGATATGGCAGAGAGCAGAAGCTAAAAGAGTGTGTTATGTGAAATCACTGAGTGAGAAGTCAGTGCCTCATCCTGCCTGGCCCCCTTCCTCCTCCCTGCCTTTGGAGAGACTATGGCAATAGTTCAGAGATGCCAGTGACATTTGGCAGCACAAAGGGGACTCTCACCCTGGACTTGCACCAGCCCTTCTCAGTCCCAGCCTTGGCTCCCTCTGTCAGCCCTTTATTTTCCTCTCATTCCTGCACTCACGTCTCTGCTGACCTTGTTTTCTTCTCAGGCCTTGGAGACTCTGGACAATGGCAAACCCTATGTCACCTCCTACCTGGTGGATTTGGACATGGTCCTCAAATGTCTCCGGTACGGGCTCAGCTTTCCTATTCTTTGTTCTGGCAGGGGAAAAGGGGAGGCAACATTGTTAGGAGGTAAAAATTAAATTACAAAAATCCAAAAGGGGCAGGGTGCGGTATCTCATGCCTATAATCCCGGCACTTTGGGAGGCTGAGCCAGGCGGATTACATGAGGTCAAGAGTTTGAGACCAGCCTGGCCAACATGATGAAACCCCATCTCTACTAAAAATACAAAAATTAGCTGGGCATGGTGGTGCACACCTGTAATACCAGCTACTCAGGAGGCTGAGGTAGAAGAATCTCTTGATCCCTGGAAGTGGAGGTCACAGTGAGCCAAGATCATGCCACTGCACACCAGCCTAGGTGACAGAGTGAGACTGTGTCTCAAAAACAAAAACCAAAATGGAAAACAAATAAATTACAAAAATCCAAAAGGATCACAGCTGTGAGAGAAGCCTACTCTATTTAGACTCCAGCTCGTGGGAAAATCCTTCAATATCACAAATTGTGACTTAGTCATAAATGCTTTCTTTTGTTCTTGAGTCACTTTTGGTACTTTCTCTGATACTTGGAACTTGTCCATTTTATTGAGGTTATCTAATTTGTTGGTGTACAATTGTTCGCAGTATTCTTATAATCCTTTTTATCTCTGTAAGATGTTGTAGTGATGTCTCCATTTTCAGTTTTACTTATTTGGGTCTTCTCTCTGTTTCTTAGCCTAGCTACAGGTTTGCCCATTTTGTGAATGTTTTCAAAGAACCAAACTTTTGGTTTTGTTGATTTTATTGTTTTTCTATTCAAGAAAATACTCTCTTTTGTCTATCTCTGTTTCAGTATTTATTGTTTCCTTCCTTTTACTAGCTCTGGGTTTAGTTTAATCAAAAATGTTTTATTGATTGATTATTATTTTTTTTGAGACGGAGTCTCGCTCTGTCGCCCAGGCTGGAGTGCAGTGGCACAATCTCGGCTTACTGAAACTTCCGCCTCCCGGGTTCAAGCGATTCTCTGCCTCAGCCTCCGGAGGTGCTGGGATTACAGGAGCCTGCCACCACGCCCAGCTAATTTTTTGTATTTTTCATAGACACGGGGGTTTCACCACCTTGGCCAGGCTGGTCTCGAGCTCCTGACCTCATGATCTGCTCACCTTGGCCTCCCAAAGTGCTGGGAATACAGGTGTAAGCCACCGTGCCTGGCAATACCCTGTTTCTTAAAAAAAAGAAAGAAGGTCGGGGATGGTGACTCACACCTGTAATCCCAGCACTTTGGGAGGCCGAGGTGGTTGGATCATGAGGTCAGGAGTTCGAAACCAGCCTGGCCAAGGTGGTGAAGCCCCGTCTCTACTAAAAATACAAAAAATTAGCCAGGCATGGTGGCGGGCACCTATAATCCCAGCTACTCGGGAGGCTGAGGTAGAGAATCTCTTGAACCCATGAGGCGGAGTTTGCAAAGGTTTCAGTGAGCCGAGATCGCACCACTGCACTCCAGCCTAGGTGAAAGAGCGAGACTCCTTCTCAAAAAAAAAAAAAAAAAGAAGAGGAAAGAAAAAAATTCTAATTCCTGGACATGAGCCCCAGCGAGTGGGATTGAGTATATTGGAAGTAGACTCTTGGGATCTGGATTTTTTTACAAGAACCCCAGGTGATTCTGAGGCTTAGGGGTTAGCTACCTAGAGTAGATTATCATGACCTTAGCAGTCACTTGTCTTTCTCTGAATAAGCCAAAAGCAAGGGCAGTTATCAGAAAGACTCAGCTGGACCAGTTTGAGTCTTCTCTTTCTGCCAGGGTTTGCAGGGATCCCTGACAATCATTGATTAGATCTTGAATGTTTCTTTTTTTAAAGGTATTATGCCGGCTGGGCTGATAAGTACCACGGGAAAACCATTCCCATTGACGGAGACTTCTTCAGCTACACCCGCCATGAACCTGTGGGGGTGTGCGGGCAGATCATTCCGGTGAGTCCAGCCTCCCTGGAGTTTCTTCAGGGTGCCCTGAGATTTGGCAGTCTTCCAGGCTCTTTGCAGAGGTTCTGGGGGTGGCGTTGGAAGGCAACCTGGGTGGCAGGTAAGAAGATGGGCTCTGACAAAGCCAATCCGGTTTGAGTCTGAGCCCTGCCACTCGTGAATTCTGTAACCTTGGGCAAGTCACTTATCCCCCAAGCCTCAGTTTCCCCATCTGAAAAGTGGAAATGAACATAGTGCCTGTCTTAGGGAGGTAATTAGGGCTTAGCATGGTGTCATGGATGTAAAAGCACAAATAAGTATGAGTCTCTGTCATCCTCATGCACCACCTGCCTTGTCCTTCCATCTTAAAACCATGATGGACGGAGTTAGGGGAGGATACACAGGGTGCAGAGAACTCAGTGCTGCTTCTGTCCTCTGGGGGTGCCACCTTCCGCTACCCAGTGTAGTTCTCTGAGGAAGCTTGGATTTCGAGGGCTGCTGCTGTTTGTTGCAGTGGAATTTCCCGCTCCTGATGCAAGCATGGAAGCTGGGCCCAGCCTTGGCGACTGGAAACGTGGTTGTGATGAAGGTAGCTGAGCAGACGCCCCTCACTGCCCTCTATGTGGCCAACCTGATCAAGGAGGTACGTGGCTTGTCCCGGTCTTAACCTCTAAATGCCCTTGTTGAGGCTTGTTCTAAAGAGTGCTGAGGAGGGTCTCAGGGGTCCCTAAACAGGGAGGTGTGTTTTTGGAGCCCTCATCATCATGTGAACCAGAGTGGCTCCCTCTTACCTCTTTTCCACATTGGACTTCACTGCAAGATCCCCTTTGAAGAATTAAAAATATTGCTCCAGGCCAGGCTTGGTGGCTCACACTTGTAATCCCAGCACTTTGGGAGGCCAAGGCAGAGGATTGCTTGAGCCCAGGAGTTTGAGACCAGCCTGGGCAACATAGCAAGACCCAGTCTCTACAAAAAATTAAAAATCAGCTGGGTGTGGTAGCATGCACCTGTAGTCCCAACTACTTGGGAGGTTAAGGCAGGAGGATCACTTGAGCCCAGGAGTTTGAGGCTGCAGTGAGCTGTGATCACACCACTGCACTCCAGCCTGGGTGCCAGAGAGAGACTCTGTCTCAAAAAACAAGCAAAAACCCACTATTGTTCTAAGTGAATGCTGTCAGGGGAGGGGCAAAGACACAGGGAACCCCAGCGAACAGGCTCCTTCTCCGTCCCATTTAGAATTCCCATGTAGTGCCCCATAAAACTAGCTTCTGCCCATGTGTGTCCCTTGGCAGACTGTCCCACCCTCTCTGAGAAAGGATGTGTCTTCCCCTGGCCGAGCCTTTTGGAACAGGAGGGTGACTCCCAATGTCCCCTGGCTGTTTGCTCACAGGCCGGCTTTCCCCCTGGTGTGGTCAACATTGTTCCTGGATTTGGCCCCACAGCTGGGGCCGCCATCGCCTCCCATGAGGATGTGGACAAAGTGGCATTCACAGGCTCCACTGAGGTAAGGTGACCCTGACCTCAAGCTTGCAACCTCCTTGGCCCAAGCTCCCCCTGTCCTCAGTGGACAACATGCTCAAGGTGAGCTCCTGGGTGTCAAGTGGAGGCCTCTTCCTCCAGGACTTGCCTGTGCAGAGCTCAGGCGAGGACCCTGTAGGTGCCAGGAGGGGTGGGCAGGGTTGAGCCCTTTGTGGTCTGGTTGCCACACTAGCTGCCCTTGGGAGGGGCCGGTGTCCCATGTGGACTAAGGAGGCCAGGCCTGGCCAGGCTCCACATAGCGCAGAGCTGACCGCTTGCCCCAAATCAAAGCACCTTGGCTAGGTCAGACTCCTTGACCAGGACTGTCATTGTGGTTAAAAATTAGCCTCGTGTGGTGGTGTGTGCATGTGGCTCCAGCTACTCGGAAGGCCAAGGCAGGAGGGTTGGTCGAGGCTGCAGTGAGCTGAGATCACGCCACTGCACTCCAGCCTGGGTGACAGAGCGAGACCCTGTCCAAAAGAAAAAAAAAAGTGAATGTCTATTTGGTGAAATTCTCTAGGTCTCTCTTGGTCCAGTTGCTCGCTCAAGCTGTGGGGACCTCTGTTCTGTGTCTACAGAGTACTGGGCTCTTTCTCCCTGCACTGAGAGCTCATTCCTGTCTCTCTGTCCCCACAGATTGGCCGCCTCATCCAGGTTGCTGCCGGGAGCAGCAATCTCAAGAGAGTGACCTTGGAGCTGGGGGGAAAGAGCCCCAACATCATCATGTCAGATGCCGACAGTGAGTTTCCAGCTGGAGGAGGCCTGGCCTTAAAGGCAGCCCTGGCCGCCTGTGTTGTGGGTCCAGCCGATCCTGTCGCCCCCACTGCCCAGTGGTGTTGGTTGCTGTCCCTCGGGCCTCAGGATAAGACACCAGCGGCCTCGGGATAAGACGCCAGCGCAAGGCCCGCGTGGCCTGGCCTTGGCCTGTCCCCAGCCTATCCCTGGCTGCTCCCTGCAGCATCAGGCTAGGCCACGCCCCTGCTATCTGACTCATCCACTCGCCGCAATCACGCCCTTTGTCCTGGTGGGCAGTGGGCTCCCAGATCGCCCCTCTTCTCCCTCTGTCTGTCTCTGGCACTCAGCAGGCATCATCCCTGACAGTGGTGGGAACAGGCTTCGTTGGGCAGGCGGCCACAGGGGCCAGGGTCCTCCTCCTCTTCTCACTGTCGCCTTTCTGTCCCCTGACCACTTCCTGCAGTGGACTGGGCCGTGGAGCAGGCCCACTTCGCCCTGTTCTTCAACCAGGGCCAATGCTGCTGTGCTGGCTCCCGGACCTTCGTGCAGGAGGACATCTATGACGAGTTTGTGGAGCGGAGCGTTGCCCGGGCCAAGTCTCGGGTGGTCGGGAACCCCTTTGACAGCAAGACCGAGCAGGGGCCGCAGGTGAGCCAGGCAGTGCAGCAGGGTCTGGGTGTCCAGAGCCAGCATGAGAAGCAGAGAGGGCATCAGGTTCAGATTGGTTGGGACTGGGTTCAGGTCTCAGCTCTGCCACACAGCAGCTGTGTGCCCTTGGGAAGCTATGTTCCCTCCCTCAGCCTCCATTTCCCCATCCCAAGCCCTGCCCTGCCTCATTCATGGGGTGGCTATGATGTGGAAATTAATCCTGGGAAGCACTTTGTAAATTGCATATATGTAACAAATACCAGGAGTGTCTGCAAAAGGGAGTGTGTGTTTCCAAGACCTTGGTCATCAGTAGAAATGTATCCACCAGAAGATACACAGCCCTGCAAACCTTGGTGTCTGAGAGTCATGATATGACTAGTGTAGGGACCTTATTTCACTTCATGTTTTGAGCTGTTTGATTTTATTTATTTATTTATTTATTTACCTATTTATATTTTAGAGACAAGGTCTCTCTTTGTTGCCCAGGCTAGAGTGTAGTGGTGCAATCATACCTCACCTCAGCCTTGAACTCCTGAGCTCAAGCAGGCTCAAGAACCACCGCGCCTGGCCTGGATTTTACTTTTGAGCAGTTGTAGGTTTACAGCAAAATTGAGCTGAACATACGAGGGTGCCCACATGTTCCTTTGCACCTCTCTGGTCGCCCAGTTTCCCCTTTATTCACGTCCTGCACGAGCGTGGTTCATCTGTTAGTACCAATGAGCCAATACTGGTACTTTATTATTAAGTCTGTAGAGTACATTCGGGGTCACTTTTTTTTCTTTTTTTTGGAGACAGAGTCTTGTTCTGTCGCCCAGGCTACAGTGCAGTGGCGCGATCTTGGCTCATGCCTCCTGGGTTCAAGCAATTCTTGTGCCTCAGCCTCCTGAGTAGCTGGGACTACAGGTGCGCACCACCACGCCTGGCTAATTTTTTGTATTTTAGTAGAGACAGGGTTTCACCATTGTCCAGGCTGGTCTCGAACTCCTGACCTCAGGCAATCTGCCCTCAGGCTCCCAGCCTCGGGGTCATTTTTTTGTGTTGTACTTACTATGGGCCTAGACAAATGTATCATAATATGTATAATACCATCATTCTAGTATCATACAAATAGATTTGTGCCCTGAAACCCACTGTCCTCCACCTATTCCCTCTCTTCCTCCCCTGAGCCCTGGCAGGCAACCACTGATTTTTTTAAATTTTATTTTATTTTATTTTATTTTATTTTTGAAACAGAGTCTCGCTCTGTCACCAGGCTGGAGTGCAGTGGCGAGATCTCAGCTCACTGCAACCTCTACCTCCTGGGTTCAAGTGATTCTCCTGCCCCAGCCTCCTGAGTAGCTGGGACTTACAGGTGCATGCCACCTTGCCCAGGTAATTTTTGTATTTTTAGTAGAGACGGGGTTTCACTGTGTTGGCCAGGATGGTCTCAATCTCCTGACCTCGTGATCCACCCACCTCGGCCTCCCAAAGTGCTGGGATTACAGGCATGAGCCATTGTGCCTGGCCGATCCTTTTATTGTCTCTCTAGTTTTGCCTTTTCCAGATTGTCTTACACGAATCATACAGTAGGCAGCCTTCTCAGACTGGCTTTTTTCTTTTAGCAATTTGCATTTCTGGTTCTTCATTGGGGAGCCACAGCCATGTCTGAGGATGGACTGGCCTTGCCATGGGACAGGGTTATGTGCCCAACATTCCCCTCTGTGATTTTTTTTTTAGAGACAGGGTCTTGTTCTGTTGCCCAGGCTGGCATGCAGTGGTGTGATCATGGCTCACCGTAGCCTCAACCTCCTGGCCTCAAGTGATCCTCCTGCTTCAGCCTCCCAAGTATCTGGGACTACAGGCACACGTCACGACACCTGGCTGATATTCATATTTTTTGTAGAGACGAGGTCTTGCTATGTTACCAAGGCTGATCTTGAATTGCTGGGCTCAAGCGATCCTCCCACCTCAGCCTCCCAAAGTCCTGGGATTGCAGGTGTGAGCCACCGTGCCTGGCCTCTAACATCTCTATCTTTCATAGCTTTATTGAGATGTAATTCATGTAGTGTGAAATGTACCATTTTAGTGTACGATTCAGTGATTTTTAGTATATTTACAACATTGTGCAACTATCACCACTAATTCTACAATATTGTCATCACTTCCCCAAAATATCCTGTACCCATTAGCAGTCACTCCCCATTCCTCCCCCAACCAGGCCCAGGCAACCACCAATCTATGTTCTGCCTATAGATTGATCTATTGTGGACGTTTTATACACATGGAATCCTACACTACATGGTTCTTTGTGTCTGGCTTCTTCCATGTAGCATGTTTTCAAGGTTCATCCATGTTGTAACAAGAATGTAACAGAACATAAAAGGCCAAGTTATATTCCGTTGTGTGGATAGACAACATTTTGATTTTTCCATTCATCTGCTGACAGACACTTGGTTGTTTCCACCTTTTGGTTACTGTGAATAGTGCAGCTAGGAACACTAACATTTCTTTCTTTCTTTTGAGACAGTCTCACTCTGTCACCCAGGCTGAAGTGCAGTGGCACCATCTCGGCTCACTACAACCTCCGCCTCATTCAAGCAATTCTCCTGTCTCAGCCTCCTGAGCAGGTGGGACTACAGGTGCACGCCATCACGCCCTGCTAATTTCTGTATTTTTAGTAGAGACAGAGTTTCATCAAGATGGTCAGGCTGGTCTTGAACTCCTGACCTCAGGTGATCCACCTACCTCAGCCTCCCAAAGTGCTAAAATTGCAGGTGTGAGCCACCGCACCTGTCCTAACATTTCTTTT